TTAGAAATCCATTTATTTAAACGCAGATCTGGTAATAAAAAGAGAACCAGATGGGAATTATGAACATCTTCTAACAGACCATAAAAGTAATTTTCCTTGTTCTTTTGCTTGTCAAAAAATTACATATAAGACAGAGCTGCTTACTGCTGAAATTGATTTACTGTAATCCGTGGAGCATAACTGCTGGAATTAATATGGCTCTTAGGCTGAAGTTGGAATTACAACAATCCTTCATCCACAAATGTAATCGACAGGAATACTCACCGTGTACACTGTTCTATTGCTTTCCTTTGTTAAAGATCAAAAAATGAATTAAGTTAATCTGTGATTTGCCGTTGCCTAACTACAAAATCAAATGAGGGAAGGGGAAATGCTTCCAGAATTATGCTGATATAAGACCTACATATCCAGCGAATAAAGCCAACACTGATGACATAACATAAGCGCCTGCCACGATTATCGGCTCTTTGAGACCACATAATTCCAGGTGATGATGAAAGGGTGCCATTCTAAACAATCGTCGACCAGCTCCAAGCAAGCGCTTTGTTGTTTTGAAGTACAATACCTAAAACATATTTACAGTCAATAATCAGACCCAGGAGATTTGTGCATTTGAGACACAGTTATCACCATTCATTTCTTAGTTCAAGCTGTATCATGTCAACGTAATATATGTGTTGAACCCTTCTAGGCAAACTGAGAAAAGAACATAATCATTATTAAGATCAATAAGCTTTTACCGCTACTAGAGGGCATATTTCCATCAACTCGTACAAATTTTGTAGAAGTCTCATGAATGGAACATACCTGCATAATAACAGACAGAGCTTCTACCACAAAGATCCCAGATGAAACAAATAATGGTAAAAACATTCCAGTACAAGCGGCCATTGCAGCCAACGCACCACCAAGGGCCAAGGATCCAGTATCACCCATAAAAACAGATGCTCTGTATCGGTTGTGCAATAGAAAACCAACACATGCTCCTGCCATTGATGCTCCAAATATAGAAAGCTCTGGTTTGGAATATAAATTTGCAGTTAGTGCTAAAGAACAATCCAGTAAAGGTCTTCAAGTATGTAATTCATGGACTACAAACAATTATAATTGTACTACAAAAAGAAAAACAAACGATTGTATCATTTGGACATCAAACTTCAAAATAACCAAATATTGAACATCAAGGCAATATTTCAATATCATGTCTCAAACCATCATGAACCGCATTATAGTGTTTACACTAGCATAATGGAGAGGTGATACAGAACCAAGAACCCACACCTTATTATTTTTTTAAGAATGATTCTTCATCAGGAAGCATAATGGTATAGGTGCAAAACTGCAATTATTTAGCAGGAGTTTAGTTATGCAGGAATTGATTGTTCCGCACAGCTCAAATAAGATGAAACTGAGGTGTAATTAAACATACAAGTCATTTAAAAGTGATAGTAAAATTTTGCAGGTCAAGACAATTGCTTTTGCATTAGTTACGTGCTTTATCAAAAAAAGATTGACAAAATGAAAATTTTGTCTACAAATTATAATTTTTTGCAGTATAAGTACAAGAACAACACCACATTCATGCCATGAACCAAAACTTAAAGGTAGGCCAGATTCTTAGTCTTTTTCAAACTTTAAGCACTATACACAAGGCATAATACAAATCTTCAGCATTTTATTAGATATAAGCAAAAGCAACAATAGAGGATAAATTAATTATAGTGTCTTAATCAAACTCTAAGAAGAAGATCCTCTTTTATGTCAAAATGTTAGTTCAAAGAAAATAATTCTAACCTGGACATATTGGAAGCACTGCAACTGACATTCCAATAAAAGCCAGTGCAGCAGTTCCTGCAGCCAGCCCATCAAGACCATCTGTCAAATTAATCCCATTTCCCATGGAAACAAAAGTAAAGGAAGTCAACAACAGATAGAATTTTCCCAAAAACAGAAGGCCAAGTGGGGCAGGTAGAGGAACCAACATTTTCCTGCATACGAAATGAAGATTATCTGAGTAAAAGCAACATTCAAGGAAAAAAATATTCATAGAAAATCCAAACTGCAAAGTAACATTTGGGCACTTATTACAGAGATGTCTGTCATGTGATATATTTTCTACAGGAAACTATACATCAATTTCTAAAAAAGAAAGCTTAACAATTGATTCAATAGGTCTTCAGAAGGGTGCCAATTTTTTTATTTTACTTACATTGTCAATGTTCTTACACCTTTAACAAACTTAACTGCCCATACAGCATTTTCAGAATAAAATGAAATGAGATGTTCTTCATCATGGAACTACTAACTATGTTTTTCTCAAAAATCCACCGTGTTTCCAGCAAAAGTCCACTTTTAAACCCACTTTCAGAACCTCTGTTCACTTCTTTTATTATAGTAATTTTATAAAATATTACACATGCTCTGCTCCAACATCAAACAATCCTTAATGAGATTACTAGAACACTGAATTCCCGCACAGTACTTAAAACTTGGTATTCTGTTGCAAATATGTTAGTTACCATCAGAAAAATGTTGATCAGATTAGTTACAAGAAGCTATACATGCCATATGGAGACGATATATTTGTGGTATTCAACCAAAACGAAAAGCACGTCCCAACAGCTATCTGTAAAGAATCATTACTCAGAGTTACTCACATAATTATCAGCAATTAACTTTTTACATAAGAAGCAGTAAGCCTAGAAAGTTTGGAAACAAAAAAGTAATGACAAAAATTTTTACCTCCAAAATTAATCTTAACCATGCAGATATTCCACTATTATGATTCTTGATGAAGCTTAACATGTCATCAATTAGCCCAATTACAGCAAATGCTAGAGTTGCAGCTGATGCAGCAGAAACTTCAATAGAAGAGTAACCTGCAGTGGCTTTTGCTACAGCCACCCCAATTGGAACAAAAAACAGTCCACCCATTGTGGCAGTTCTCTTTTTCCTGGCATGCTTAGGAGGCCCTTCTTTCCTGATGACTTGACGAATCTTTAGACTTTTAAGCAATGGGACACATATATAACCCGCACAAGCGACTAAAGCTGCTGATATAAAAAAGGGGCGGGTCATGTACAATGGTGCCAAGGGCAGTCTGACGATCTTCCATCCCCACCAATCCACAAATAAAAGCAGCACCGTCAAGAAAGTTATCAGTCCAAGATTGTTAAACAATCCAAGTTTGATCCTGCAATTACAGAGAGTAATAGATCAAGTTAATCAAAAGAAAATATTGCCCATTTAAGTGCTGCTTCTCACTGAAACAATCAAATTAAGTCATCCTATATGTTTTACAATTCAGACAAATGACGCAAACCGATTACTAGCATATCAGTTAGCACCACTGAGAGTAAAAAAAAAACTTTTTTTTTTACTCAATGAGGAAGAGGTTCTGGCATTAAGGAAACTACACTCTTGAAGAACAAATCACAAATCACAAAATTCAACATTATTATTTTATAGGTATTTCAGAAAACACTGATCATAATATCTATTTTATCACAAACCACCAAAATAGCCCTCCAATGTAATATAGGAAATATCCAAATAATGCTATCAATAATAACTTATTAAAAGGTAAAGAGTTTGATCAGTAAGTGTGACAAAATATAACAAAAATCAGAGCCATTAAAGTAAGCTTCATAACGAGAATTTGTTGGCCTTAAAAATGAAGGTATAAGCCACAAGATATGATATTATCTTATCTTTCCCTTATGACTTGATTACCAACCCTGGCAAAATGATGCCAAAAATCTGCTGGGCTCGTTGGTTGCAACTATGAGTGCCACCGTTAAGAACCCCATCTGAGGAATATGAGAGTGGAACATTCAAATGTCTACTAGACTATAAAAATTGCACAAGCTTCTAGAGCCAATACATGTTCAACTCTAGTGCAATATGAAATTTGTGCCATAAAGAAAAATGACTCAAACCGTTGTAATGAAAGTTAAGTTTACTAAGTCAAAAGCGCAAATGGCACAAACAGAATTGGTAATATATGGTGAACAAAGCAATGCCAACTTTCCACATCATAGAACAAAATGGTACAACGTCGAACAAATACACAGTTCATTAATACACCTGCCTGTATCTTTTGCGTATTCTCCCCATCATTGCAAGCCTGTATGAAGTTACTCTCAGAGCTTCATCACTTGACGCCGACTTAGTAGGCAAATCAATATCACTCACTGGGTTTAGTACAATTTCTCCATCACTGTCTTCTCCGTCACTAGATGAAAACATGTACCCCGCAGTCCCCTCATTGTCACTCCAGTTGTCAAGTGAAGAAAAACCAAAATCCTATAAAGCAAGAAAATAAAAAGCATTAATGAATGCAATTCAAGGGGAAAAAAAAAGTCCATTATCTCTACTAGCAACTAAGAAGATCATCCATGAAATTGTCCTTGTTTAAATTCAAACTACAGTATTAAGTTTTTGTTTTTATCCAATGTAATAAATATATACGCAAAAATGTAAAAAAAAAAAAAAAAAATCCATTTGAGTTTAGAAACACAAAATACCTCATCAAAGGCTTTAACTTGAACAACACTATGCCGCAATCGACACCCACATTTCCGAATATTTGATCCATTTAACTACAAGAACAGATAAGCAGCCATAATAAACATAATGACTATATCAGAGTACAACCATTAATACGATCGACACAACTTTGGAATCTCTAATACCAACCTTAAAAAAAAAAAAAAAAAAAAAAACTTATGCTATTTATTTTCCTCTAATGATCCACATAAAAAATCTGTATCTATTATAATTCATATCCAACTTGTACAGCTGGATTCGCGTGGACTTGAATGAGAAAGCGTACCTTTACACCGTAAAAGATATAAGAATGGCGACGCCGAGGAACCAAATCGAATCGAGGAAAACACAACCTCTTGCGAGATTGGAAATGGCGTAGATTCTGAAGATTCAGAGACGATGAATGAGATTGCATGACTACTCACTAACAAAAATAATTTCTGAAAATGAAACTGGAGAGTCCTTCAGCAATCATCAATAAGTTAAGATCGTAAAGAGAGCGGTTGAGTCCATTAAATGGGAGAGGCATATCCGAAAGAAGAAACGGTTTTTTTTTTTTTAATAATCGAAGAAAAATAAAATAAATAAAAAATAATAATTTCATCATTAAAATGGTGTTAACATGGTGGCGGGACAAGAAATCCAGGTGCTTGCTTTGCTTACCCACTCGGAAATTCCCGGAACATTTTGTACGTTTAACTGATACACGCGTGGGCAAAGCGCGTGGACGGAAGTGCTTTCGTACGTTATACCCAATGAAGTGTTCAAAAGTTGACTCTTACAAAATGTTGTTTATACACTTTTTCTTACGATCTTTAACGGATAATTCACTTTTTCTTACCATCTTAATAATAGTTCATAATTAGTCCGTCATAATTTATAAAATAAGGTTTATTATAAATTAATTAATTATAAATTATTATATCAAAATTATGGGAAAAAAATATTATAAACATAACATTTTTCTATCTATTTTTGAAGTTGTTTAAAAGATACAAGATATCTATCATTTTAGAGAAAGTAATTTTTTAATGTAAATAAATTATAGTTAATAATTTGTTAGCACTCTTTTATATTAATAAAAAGTCGCTCAAATTTTCTCTCTCCCACCTTGCCAACTCTTATTTACTCTTTGATGATTGGAAAATTGACAAATTATCAAATTTAAAATTACTCTTCCCTCTTCGAGTCGGGTGGGAAATTTTTTGGTTTTATAGTATTTTCCCTCTCATTACGTTGTATTATTCTTTATCTCATTATGCCATTATAGCAATAACAGCTTCTAAATTACAGTATTTTTTCCTTTTTCACCTTATTCCATCTCTTTTTTTTTTTTTTTTTGGCTAATCACCATGGGTGAACAATGTCATAGTAGAAGATATGTGCTTTGGAAAATTAATTTGAATATTCTTCCAACATCAGAAGCTATGAATGAAGTTGATGACATAGCTAAGAAAGTTAATATGCATGTCAGCAGGAAAAATCTCACAAATGAACAAAGATAAACTATTTTTTAATCTCTATAACGAGCTACTATCAATGTCAGTTTAAGCTATGGAGACATATTCAAATTTTAGACGAGGGATTTTGAATTTGTTGGAAATAAAAGGCACACCAAGAAACAGAAAGAGAAAGAGAGAGAGAAGACGAAACACTAGAGAAAAAGAAAAAGAGAGGAGATAGGGGTCATAAAATGAGAAAGAGAGAGAGGATTACTCAACTTTTTTGTCAAACGATACTTATTTTAGATAAAAGTAATAAGTTTAAAATGATATATATATTGAAACGGATGGAGTGTAAAAGAAAGACAAACTGATGGATACAACTTCTGTAGTAAACAAACTGTGTAGAAAGAAAGCTTGCTTCAAGGAAGACGTTATTTGCCCCCACCAATTGTGTGATGCACCGGGTCTTGCAAATATGCCTCCCAGATACAGTAAAGCATTATTATGGTTGTCTGCATTGTGCACTGACGAGAGCAAACCTGGATACTCTTGAATTTTGCAAGCCTGCCAAGAATCAGTGTTATATTTCTGCAGTAATGGAACACTGGCTTTTATTCTAGAAAACTATGAATGGTTTATGCAAGGAAAGGTTTGGAAAATGGTAGAAGAAGGGAGATTTTTCAGTAATTCTAGAAGTATGGAAAATGGGCACACAAAGGCCTTATTCATAATGTTGTAGGAACCCTTTTATTTAACTCACAACCATTCGCTCATGTCACTTTATTTTTAGTCGTAGATGAAGTTAGTGGTTACAGTCTGAGATTGAATACATGGAAGCAAGTTGAAGATTATCCTTATGGTGATCATAATTATAAGTTTTAGTATAAGTGTATAACCATAGCCATGGGAGCTTTGTAAATGGTGCATCTCATTGGTTAGTGTATCCATATATATTAAAAGGAGAACGGATTTAGGGATGGAGAGGTTTGCAGTGGTCAATTATTGCTTTAAATAAGAGTTTGTAAATGGTGCATCTCATTGGTTAGTGTATCCTTATATATTAAAAGGAGAACGGATTTAGGGATGGAGAGGGTTGCAGTGGTCAATTATTGCTTTAAATAAGAGTTTGTAAATGGTGCATCTCATTGGTTA